AAGTCCGGCAAAGGTTGAGACTCATTAGATCAAAATTGCAATTCATAATTCTTGATGATTTTAGTAATGTTGCCGTCTGTTTTTTTTTTTCTTTTTCGGAATTACTCCTCTAATTTCCCAATCTTCTAACCTTTTCATAATATCCTTCGCCACCATTTCATCTGCTACTCTAAAGATATGCAGAACTGTTATCCTTATATTCCAAAAATTGTTCTAGTTCTTTGGCAACTTTTCAGTTTTCTTCCTATTGTACAATCACCTGGAACAGTGGCGTCGATTCACAGACAGTTCTTTGTTAATGATTACAAAATTTGGTTTCCGTACCTGGATGAGGTGGGAATTTAGAATATCGGACACCCATAGAATTTTAACTTTCTTTTCTCTGAGAGCTCAAAAATTTGAAAACCATTTTTGCCTTCATTATCGAGGCGTTCTGAACTCTTTACAGACATGGTTTCTTTAAGAGTTTGGAATTGCTGTGAATTCAGAGTCGTCCTTCTCCTAGATTGGTTTCCACCTAAGGTTAAAAAGCCTAGTTTACCCTGTTGTAGCTGTTGGAACTTAAGATGGATCAATGCTTTCCTCAGAAACATTTGTGAGAAAGTGAACGCAACAGACTAACCTGGATTTTGGACTGTGCTCACCTGTTCCACATTCCACTTAAACTACCCGCATATTCATATATATATATATATATATATATATATATATATATATATATATATATATATATATATATATATATGAAACCGGCTATAAAGAGCAAACGACGTATCGTTAGATTAAGTTCTGAACCTAATGAGCCAGGCAAACCTACCTAGGTTTCACCTACGCGGATCGTCAGGGTACGCCATCCAAAGAGGTAACATAGAACAGAATATAAATAGTCTACAACATAAAACATGACCATGTGACAAAACAAAAAGAAACAAAAAAAGACACAACAACCGGGGTGGGGGTACTACATATTTATTCAATAACAAAAAAAATATCATTCAATAACAAAAAAAAAGAGATGAAAACGAAACCTATTCTAGTAACTCGCGTTTCCTATGTCTACACTTACTCAAGATTTCAGATTTAGGATTTAGCAAATTAATAGGTTCTTTATACAAAGCGATGGCTAACTTTTCCTCTATATAGAGAGGACAAAATTTATTACCTGCTTTATACTTATGGCATTTCTTTAATATTTCCCATTTCAAAATGGAGTCTTTATTATAGTCTTCTTTAATTTTCCATACGTAAGTGGATATAGTGATGTTATGTTTGTATCTTTTGTTATTAAAACTACTAAGATGGTTAGAATATCGGGTTTTAAAACTATTTTAGGTAGATCCTATATATACTTTTGGATTTTCATCAATATTGCTAAGTTTATCCTTGTATATTTTTACTTGGTATACCACGTACTTTCCCTGGAGTGGGCAGGCTTTCTAATTCCTACAATCACATTTTTTTTTCATGTTGTATCTGTTAATTAAACTATTAATTAATTTTTACTTTACTCGTGTCGGAGGTTTTTTTCTTTGGACTCTGAGCTTGGATTCTAGTCGATTGTTTTCGTCTGAATTACATGTTCCTAGTTTTTTCATTTTTTTATTTCTTATTTTTCCTTGGGTATTGGTTTGTTCATTTACAAACCAAAACACCTAAGGTTTTTCCAGGCGAGTATACATACTTATATTTATAAGATTATTAATATATATATATATATATATATATATATATATATATATATATATATATATATATATGCAGGACCATTTTCCAATTTATTGAAGATGATCTTGCCTGCTCTAACCTTCTAACTTTCTTCAATGGAGCAAATGGTGCCTCAAGCGTTTCACGTACGATTTCATTTTCAAGTCTTTTTTCAATGATCTTTGGAATGTCGTAACTGAAACTCATATCTCAAGTTGATCTGTTTAGCAATAATTTGAAATGATGATCCCTCTTCCTGTTTTGACCTCCTGATCCAGTATTCCTCTATACTGTTCCATCATTTTAAGTTTATTCCCCGTTCTCTTGATAGTTCTTGCATAGACTTTGAAGATGGAAGCCATAGTATGAATGTTCGTATCATTACTGAAGGCTTTAATGAGCTTTTTCCTCTCACCATTGCTCAGCTCCGAAGACAATGGTTCTGACACAAAACAATTTTACCAGTTCGCTTTCTAGGTGAATAACTTAAAGGGTTTTTTTTTCAGTGAGTCTTACGATAAATGGTGTCAAGATGGCCAAAAACATTATCTGAAAACGAAAATCTATTAGTTTAGTGTGTTTTTTTTTTTTTTAGAAATTAAACATTTTGCAGGATGGATAATTATGCTGTTGAGTTTATATACAAGAACCAAAATGTGATTAGTTTTTCAAAATTAAATAAAGCAACAACAAAAACTCCTTCTCACTTTCTCTTATTAGACACTCAATTCTATCATCTCGTGTCCGTGAACTTGCCTGACTTTTCCGCAAACCAACTGAATATTCATGGGCAGCCCTCTACCAAAAAGCTTGAAAAACCAATAACAGATTTGATATTGTATATAAATACTGGTCACAAAATGAAATCTTTCCATTTGTCTTAATAAAGTCCCTCATCGAATGAAACGCCTCGGCTAAAAATAGTTTTTCCTCTTTCTTTTTATTCACTTTCTTCCTTTACATATACACACTATATGATAATATATATATATATATATATATATATATATATATATATATATATATATATATATATATATTCTATTCCTTCCTCACTCCTCACTTCGTTAATTTTACGTATACTTGATGAGGTCCGTAAAAACGTGTGAATTTCTTTTCATTTTTCATTTCAGCATTTGGAAGTAAAGTCTGATGATCCAGAACCCTGTTAAAGGGGTTATGGTGAAATAGCTTATTACATGGAATCTTAACGTGGTCTGTCTTTTTATTCAAACATATCTGCTCTGAATTTTACATTGAGCTCTCTGGATATCATCCTCCTCGGGTCTACCCATATGGATTACCTAAGTTTATAAAAATATATATATATATATATATATATATATATATATATATATATATATATATATAGTTTATGCATATATATATATATATATATATATATATATATATATATATATATATATATAATTTTTATAAAAATTATAATAACATAAGTATGTTATAAAATCACTACAAAAATAGCCATTTTGTTTCAACACACTCTGTGTCTTATCAAGTGATGATGTTGAAAAGAAAATAAATGGTTTTAAAAGTTTCAGATTAATTAACGATCCTACACTAGGGGGAAACATTGTTACAAAAGCTAGAATAACCAATCAAAAACGAAGTATAGAAAGATTCAAAAGCTTGACAACGAAATCCTGATCTAATAGCTATTCAGATCTTTAAATACGTGTAATATTAAAATAATTTATACTAACTAATAATTATAAATTTACATGATAAAATTTAATATTAAAATTAAAAACTGACAATTTTTAAAATCCAAATTTAATCACTATTAAGTTTAAAAACTACAAAATTATTGAGAAAAGAAAAAATATATATGTTTATTCAATTCATTTCTTCATTGAAATTACGTTCGACAAGACAAGACGCTATAATACATCCGGTCATTTGATAATACATGTATATATATTTTTTTCTTTTTCCCTTTCTTTTCCGTTTTTATTTTAAAGTTTGTGAATATGGTCTTAAACTCACGCGTGACACAACAAAAACACAATCAGATTATAATACATAAGCATCCAGACATAATTAGATACACACACACACACACACACACACACACAAACATACACACACACACTAAAAAAAAAAAAAAAAAAAACGGAGAGGTGGGGGGAATACATGAACATCTCTACAGCCCTTTATGAAAAAAGGAGACGTGGAAACTAACACTTATACACACACACATTGGAATTCATTCCGTGTATACCAATTATATACTTTTTATATATATATATATATATATATATATATATATATATATATTGTTATGGTCCGGTTCCTTGTACCACGGTGATAGTCCAAGGTAGAATCAATAAAGAAGAACTCGAACACGGATATGGAATAACACAGATATATTACAAACAGGAATATATACAGAGAAGTAGAAGTGTTAGTATGAACAATCAGGTTTAGTAGAAATTGTCTGAACGCGACTCTGTTTCGGACTGCCTCTGACTCGACTGACTGACTCGCTCGCTCTGACTGACTGACAGATACCTGACGGACTTCACTCCAGACTTCAGACTGAAAAGTATTTAGTCGACCCCCCCACGAGGGCATCATGTGGCACAAGGCCGGTTTAACGTGGGATATCCGAGCCCGTGGGCTCGGCCAAAAATATGCCCTTTGAACCCGTATAAACGGGTTCAGGCTCGGTTTACCTCCCCGAAAGAGACTCCGCCCTTCGGCGTAGCCTCGTTCGGCTTCCTCCCCACCCGAAGGTAGAGAGTTCAACCGATCAGCCGATCAGCCGATCAGCCGGTTGCCCGACTTCGGACTGAACTCTTTGCTTCCTCTTGAGGCGCAGTATTTATTACGTATGGAATAGTCCATTATGTTTTTTATGGGTAAGGTCCCATAATATATATATATATATATATATATATATATATATAGATATATATATATATATATATATATATATACTGACTCTCCCGTCGAATTCGACGTATGAGGGTCAATCAAATCAGTTCCTACGAACCACTACCTGCAAATGTGAGTTGATTATAGTGGTGAAGGCTTTGTGCAGAACCAACCACACATTTTGAAGGGCCGAATACAGAATCCTGGTGCACATGGTCCCCAAACGACCCTCCGCAGGATTTGAATTCTTCTCCTAGACCAGTTGCCATACAAGGCTATAGAACCCAATCTGTCCTGCTATTTACCCATAGCTAGGGAAAAAAGAAGAGGATTCATACCTTTTCCAAGAATAATAGCACATAAGTGAATTTAATGGATTTGACTGGAGTCCGATTCCTCAATTCAAGCCGTTATCCATTACTCCACCGTGCCTCCTCATAGATAGATAGATAGATAGATAGATAGATAGATAGATAGATAGATACGAGATTTTACAGCATATGTAAAAAAAATGGTTATCATTCGATCTCGGTGGGAAGAAGTTCATTTTTTACTTACTTCTTTCCTTCAGACATGAAATATAAGATTTTCTGTAACAAATAGTGAATACTGGGTGAGGTCCTTGCTGAAAAAATAAATATATTGAAACTATTCAATGCTTTCTGGAAACTTTCAATGACTAGACTTCCGATTTCATGGAAGCACCGAAATGCTTTGATACAAGTAAAATGATACGCGAAGTAATCTCCACGCCCACACGCACTTGCAGTTTGTAATCGATCTATGACCGATGCGAATATTTCAGCGACAATAGAGATATGAGTGAAAGCTGCAGATGACTCACCATAATGCGCCACAAGAAAATGGCGTGAAACTTTCCTTCATATAGCACCTTGCATGAAATTAAGACTAGGAAGCACCCACCAGGCTGCATGATTTCGGATTCCATGTCTAAATCTGAATCAGCTGATGTCTATTCCGTATTAAAGTTACAGCAACCACCGTCTGTCTAACTCTCTGCATTAGCAGGAAGGAACCCGGGCGAAGCTTTGCCGAAGGGCAAGGTTTCGTTCGGGGAGGTTGATAGCTCTCGGGGCCGCCTAGGCGGGTTCGAAGGCTATATTTTTAGCCGGGCCTACGGGCTCGGATGACCCACACTAAACTCGGCCTTGTGCCACATGCTACCCCACGTGGGGGGGACAGCTAAATATAGCTGATGTCTGTTCCTTGCTGTCCCGTTATACCTTGTTTTTAGTCATCCATTTCTACAAGCTTTCAGGTGGGTTAACCGCTGCCTTCCCCTGCTTCATTATTACGTGCCCTACAAATTTTAGCTGTCTTTTATTGATTCAGAGTACAAGTGACACCTTTGTTTCCAGATGATGACATTCTTCTTCTTTTATGTGCCGTGTCCCTTCAGGACGTAGGCGATCGTAGCTCTCCACTTCTCCTAGTCCCTTGTAGCTCTCAATACGATTTGTCTTTTTGTTATTTCTCCCAGACCAACTTCTGCCATCCACTTGCTTAAGCCTGTTAAGTATATCACGCATTGCTTTCCCTTGTCCCTATTTCCCTCTATCCGCCCTGTGTGTATCAAAATTTCCAAGCCCTCCTTTCTCATTATGTGTCCCAGAAATTTCAGCTGCCTTTTCTTGATGTTAAGTATGTTTTCTCTTTGTTTTCATCCTCTCCGAAACCTCATATTCGCTCACATGTTCGCTCCATGTTATCCTCAGCATCCTTCTGTAGAGCCATACCGATGTTACCTCGAGTTCTTCTTCAGCTCTAAGAAGACCGTCCAATATTCACTGTCGTAAAGGAGGACAGATATCAGTAGCTTTTCAGTACTCTTTTCTTTGTTACCAAACAAACCTTCTTGTTTCGTAATACTTTGCCTAGCTTCTGGAATGTGTTTTGGCCAACCCAATACGTCTTCGGATCACAGGGTCTGTTATCTGACCCGGAGTGATAGTAACTGTTTTAATGGATCCCAGCTATGGGTAAAGTAACAATTCTTTCCACTTTTTGTTGTGATCGCAATCTAAACTTATAATATTGTTATTTATGTTTTATTAACCCGAAGTACTTAACTGTGAACAAAGTGATATGACTATTTTTTGTGGATATTAATTTTCAAGAAAAATAAAAATATAAAAGAAAAAAAAAGAAAATTTGGATTACTAAAGTATTTGTTACATATTAATATTAACTTTTAAAAAAAAAGAAAAAAGATATAATTTTTGGAATTAAAGTATTTATTAACTTTACTAATATTTTGAAAGAAGATTCCATGATATACCCAAAATAAGGGGGGTGTTACGGTTTTTTGTGTATATAGGCATGTAACTAGCGAGCGAGTCAAAATGACTTAATTCCCTTAATAGTCTGCCAACAGAAGATTAACCAATCAGGAGCCGCAAAACTCTGTATCCGCCGTGTATAAAAGCGGCCATCTTTGTTTTTTACCTACCGGAATGACCAGAGCCAACTTCTCAGGCGAAGATGACAGACGGAAGAACTACGCTCTGCTACTTTGCTGAGATATCCACTGCGAACCTGCACTACGCTTTCCTACTGTCTCCGAAATATTCACTGCCAACCTCTGGATTCTATACTCGAGGACGACCGTCATGAAAATGTTTAACAGGTTCACACTTACCGTCCTCTGTCAGAACACTTCCCAGATATTTAAATTTCCTCATCTGCTTGATTTTAGTGTCTCCGACCTGGAAATCGCATATCGGGGTCATTACAGATTCTATAAAGCAAACATCGATAATTCGATTGGTTTGTGTATCTAAGCGTTAGTAATAATTGGTTTGTATATGTAAGCGTTAGTAATCCTGCTTTAATCTGACACAAGGTTGAAGATATAGTGCCTACAATGGATATTCAAACAACTAATATCGTCAAGAGACTTCGGGCAGAGACCAAGCAAAGACGTTCAAAATGAAAATAAAAACGAAAATAAAAAAAGAACAAAATCTCAAAATAAAATTTAGTTTTTATTACTGTTTGTCGTCGTCTTCATCAATCATTTCATTAAGTCGTTTAAGTTTGATTATATTTATTCATTTTGGCTAAGTAAGGTACAGGTTTGAATGGAATGAAATGAAAGGAGGATGAGTTTCACGAATCATAAATAAAAAAAAAATTCAACGATATTATGGAACATCTAGTATTGATTGTAACAGCAGTATAAATTTCCCAATCGATATTTCTTTCCAGTTCAGTTTTTGATCTTTGATGAGAAACTTTTTTGATGATTAAGTATATATACAATCATTAAGAAAAGTTAGCTGTAACAGGTTTATTTCCGTTTTTTTTTTGGGGGGGGGCATTACCTTGTGTCATATAAGATTGCATGATCATATAACTTTTTGCTAGTGCATCTGCCATTATTCACACATGATTCATGGTCAGAAAATATTTGAAATTGTCAAATTAGCAGCCATTGTGATCGTATTTATGTAGTGAATTAGCTTTAGACTATGGGCTTAAATCCTCATTTTCACCTACACTGGGGGCTTAAATTGTTTTTTTCTTCTACGAGATGAAGGCTATTCTGTATTTGAAGTCCGTGTAAAAGTAGGTTATAGCAAAACAACCGTACAAATTGCTGTTATGAATTTACAAAGTTCAGAGAGATTTAGCGACAAGGGGGTTGAGAGTTGACGTCCAAATAAAACCAGTACTGGTGAATAGAATTTTATGAAGCGCATGGCTGCTAAAAACCCAACAAATTCTGGTAAGAAAATAGGTGATACTCTGCTTCAAAATAAAGTAAATATTACTTCTATGATAGTCTAATGTTATCTTAGATTTGACTTTGGTCTGAAATCATTTAAAGTGGCTCGAAAACCACGGCTAAGAACTACTATGAAATTCGAGCATCTGACATTTTCTAAGCAAAATGAAACTTGGATAGCAGAGAACAGAATCAAAATTATGTTTTCAGGTGTATTTATTCTGCAACAATTCCTTATGCGTAAAAGAAAAATTAGATTTCCCTGGTAAGAGATCTAATTAAAAGTATACAATTAAAACTAGAAAGCACTTACCAATCCGGATAATTTGGGGTGCCATGCCCAAAGCTAGTCTCTATTCCTTGTTCCCAGGAACAACGATGAATCTTGCAATGTTTGTGTCGCTACTGCATGAGGATATCAGCTGCACATTCACTATAAATGAGGGTGCAACATAGCACCGGCCAAAGATCGTTCAGCCATTTTGGAACAGGTGACTGGGTGGGGAACAGCACAGATCTGAACCCAACTGAAAATTTATGGGAAATTTGTCAAAAAAAAAAAGTTTTTGCAGAAAAAAAAAAAACAACGTCCCAGTACCGAAGAACTGAAAGAAGCAATTAAAAAAGTGTGGGCAAAAGAAATATAATTTGACTTCTGCAAAACTTGAATCCCACCATGGCGCGTCACATTCAAATATTAAAACAAAACCAGTTAATAAAAAATACTGAAAGCTGAACTTTTAGCGTGAAAGGAAGAGAACATTGTCAGCCTCTCATAAATTGCTTGTTACTATGTTGTGTTTAATTGCAAGGTGATCTTCAACATTAGTTAATGATTCTGTCTGTCTGTCTGTCTGTCTCTCTCTCTCTCTCTATATATATATATATATATAATTATTTTCCAAGCGTAGCTCAGATGTAGGACACCCAGTGAGAATCGAACTCACTACTCAGTCGTAATTGTTCTAGCGAGACAAGACAACCATTACACCACTCCATTACACCTCTCTCTCTCTCTCTCTCTCTCTATATATATATATATATATATATATATATATATATATATATATATATATATATATATATATATATATATATATAGAGAGAGAGAGAGAGAGAGAGAGAGATAGAGAGAGAGAGTGAGAGAAAGAGAGAGATGTATATCAAACGAAATGATGGTACATATATCTATAACACGAAAATGTATGCTTACGTAGGTCCCCTCAAATGACCACCTTAAGATATCGGAGGCCATATATTTTATCCATGAAAGCTTCACACTGTAAGCAGAAAGATTTTGTCCTCGGCCTCCAAAATGATTTAAATTTAAATTTTTCCTTATATTCCATGCCTTTATATATATATATATATATATATATATATATATATATATATATATATATATATGTATATGAAAATTTCTCAGAGTTAACCTGTAGAAAAGACAATATTTAAAAATATAAATGACAACAGGAAAACTGTAGATCATTCTGTTTTTTGTTATTATTAATTACTTTCTTTAATTAAATTCATTTCGTTTTTTCCAGAGAGAAAGTCCACATTAGACGAAACGCGTCAGCAATAACTACAGTTTTCCTATTGTCATTTATATTTATATATATGTATATATAATAACTATGTTATATAACATCGAGCTGTGTTTTATGACACCTGAGAAAAACATATATGTACATGCAAGTATATGTGAGTTTACTTATGTTTTTCTCATACCCATATATCTATCTATCTATCTATCTATCTATCTATCTATCTATCTATCTCTCTCTCTCTCTCTATAT